CTATATCCTTCCCTTCAAGGCTCAGGGGTCCAGGATTATCTTCTGTGTCTGTGTTAATTGGTTTCCCTTTTCTTTGTTGAAGAGGGTCTGTGCAGATTTTCTGCCTATTCCGCCATCTTGGAATCCTCCTCTAGGTTAACTCTTAGGTCCTACCACCACTTGGCAATATCCACGCTGTCTGTGCTGTCAGGATCGTTGCCAGACCGTAGCTCTGTATATCTCCTTTTTTGGTGTTTTCATGCAAATTCTTCTGGTAGCTGAAGTTTGGTCCACTTCCGTTCAAAGCTCAAGGGTCCAGTATTATCTTCTGTATCTATGTTAATTGTTTCCCCTTTTCTTTGTGGAAAAGGGTCTGTGCAGTCTTTCTGCCTATTCTGCCATCTTACCAGAACTCAAATATGCATTCTTACATGTAAGGTTTCCCTAGTTCGGCGGACCACAGTGCTGCCTGAGGCTTTGAGGTTGATAAAATTGCCTCCCATGGGTGTTAGCTCCATATTCCAGAATAAGACCCCAGGTGACCCTCCAACCAGAATACAAGTAACATCACAGTCTTTGGAAGTGTATCTGCTCACATTGTTACCAAAAGAAAACAGTATGGTCCTCTAAGTGCCTCAAGACCTGGCACCAGGAAGTGGAATCATCTACTGGCACTTGTCATGGGTACCCAAAAAGGAGTTTTAATTACTTTGTCTTTCTGGAGGTAAAGGAAGTAACTGGACTAACATGAGAGCATATTATTCCTAGTGGATGGAGGGCCCCAATAGTTACATGGATGAGGCAATATAAAGAAAACAAAAATCCTCACAACTGGACCAATAAGCAGCAGCATGATAAATGGATAAAAGTCTGAAGTTTTCAAAGACTTCTTATTACTTGGTTCTATAATCAGTACCAATGGAAGCAGCAGTCAAGACATCAGACAACGTATTGCATTGGGCAAATCTTTTGTAAAAGACTCCTTTCAAGTGCTGAAGAGCAAAGATATCTCCTTGAAGACTAGGATGGGTCTAACCCAAGCAATGGTATTTTCAATTGGCTCATATGAATGTGACAGCTGGACAATGAATAAGGAAGATTGAAGAAAAGTTGATGCTTTTGAGTTGTTGTGTTGTCGAAGAATGCTGAAAGTACTGTGGACTGATAAAAGAACTAATAAATCTGTCCTGGAACAAGTACAACTGGAATGATCCTTGGAAGTGAGAATGACCAGACATCGTCTCACCTACTTAAGTCCTGTTGGCAGAAGAGACCATTCTCTGGAAAATGATGTCATGCTTGGTAAAGTGAAGGGTCAATGAAAGAGGGGAAGGCCCTCAACAAGATGGATTGACACAGTGGATGCTGCGATGTGCTCGGGCATAGCAGGGATCATGAGGCTGGCACAGGATTGGACAGTGTTTTGTTCTGTTGTACACAGCGTTGCTATGAGTTAGAGACAACTCGATGGCACATGACAACAATAACATGTTGGGTGCCCACCATCATACAGAGATGCCCTTAGGAGAGAGGCTTTGTTACAAGAGTCTGTACTGACTGATCTCTCGGGTCAGCTGAGAATTCTGAAAAAGACTCATTTCTCCTTCTCGGATTTGCTGAGACCCTTTTTTTTTTTGGTCTTTTGTAAGTCTTTCCTATGATAGTGATTCTATCGAACGACAAATACTTACTTAAGGAAGTTTTCAAGGTCATCTCGACTGCAGGAAGACCATGAAAGGTCGCTGGGGTTCCGTCCTTTCACCCACTCGCCTGACATGATGTGGGACCTCCCAGCACAGGATGAGTGGTCATCGTCATGGTTCATCCCCAAGCTGCCATGGTAGAAAGGGAGAGGGACACTTAGGCTACAAGCTTCTTATTTCCAGTTCCAGGTACTAACATGCTTACAGCAATCATATATATAAAAGATGATGTAGGGTGACACCTGGTTTTCACAGACCAATAAAGACAAGTTTGCAGAAAATACACAGGATAAAGCTTTGTTTAGTGAATAAAGACTGTTTGAGCACCTAATAGGTGCTAATAGTATTTGCTAAATATATGAATAAACAAAGAATTATGTGTGAAAATTAACTGTGATAGTACGATTCTTAAACTCTAAGCTTTTGCTGATTAGACTTACTTTCCCACATAAAAATATCCCAATATTTATGGTCTAAGCATTTTGTGTGCCACAGCGATAAGTTATGGTGCAAAAGGTAGTGGGGATCAATATTTTAATCTACAGAATATCATGACTTCAAGTCTTTCAGCCCATGACAAATTGTGGCTTTTCTGTGTTTCCCATCACAATACTTGGGTCTACGAAGATCACACCCATTGCCCCCCAAGTTGTACCTGAAAGGTACCAGGATGACTGTCTAGGCATGGAGATGGGGGAGGAGGTGGCCATACACTCAAGTGAACAATGATCTTTAGTTTATATACATGTGATCACTGAAGAAAGCTGACAGGCAGAACACATCAGATCAGATGGGCCAAAGTGTGGGTCAGCAAACTTTGGATATGGTCCAGATACTCCTGTATTTTCCCTACAGAGATGTTTCCTTAACTGATCTCCACTTGGGCCGGATTAGCTGACATCATCCATGAACTTTGTAAAACACATTTCTGGTATTCAGACCCCTCTCCAGTCACTCACTCATTTCTGCTCCCATCAGTTGAGTGTGCACTTACTAAGGGTGAACTGTATTTATTCTCAAACCTGTTTATGCCAGTTATGCCTGTTATTTCAATTAATATCTGTGGTTACATGTTATATAAGCCAATGAAACATGAGAATAAAAGGAAAGTTTTTTTTTCCCCCCCTCAGGAAAACAAATTTAGCTAGCAGCTAAAATTACCAAATTGATGTGGTTGAGACAACGGCAAAAGATTGGGAAAAAGTATAAAAATCTGCCCCTACACTTTTTCAGAAGGTCTTTTATGTTCCTGTTTCAATCTAAAGAAAATGACATTGGAATTAAGACTTATTGCACTAGAGGTGTGGGTTGTGTTATGTGAAATTCCCACCAACACACACTCAAGTGCAAAAAAAGGTTTTCACCCACATCATAAAATTGATGAATAACATTTTCATGGTTTAAATTAAAATAAAATGTTGTAAATATCTAAGTATAACATTTTTATATTTTTCTACTTCAACCAATTTTTTTTTTTTTGGTAATTGACCAATTACAATCATTTCAGACAAGAGCTTCCATGGTGCCTCCTAGAGATGATGGCCACCACATTCTCTCTCAGTCGGAAACTCTCAACCAAATTTCAGGTTCTTTCCACCAGGCTCTCTTTCCCACAGGGTCTTCTAACTCACATATTTCCTTAGGACATCTTTGTATCAAAGCTTATGGATCAGTGCTTGGAACATAGTAAGACCTCAATATATAGATATCGAGTAAATTATCTGTTTAATATTGAAGAAAGGCCCCCAATGGGAAACTTCAGATCCATGACATTTGTGCTAATCCTAGTGCAGTGGCAAATTGTTCAACAGAATAATGAAGCAATTTACAGTTAGATTCAGTCTCATTCTCCTGCTTAGATGTAAAGTATGCATTCAGTTGGGGTTAAATGAAAAACCAAGAAACTATCAGATCAATTTGACCAATGAGAAAAATTTAGATAAATTTCCAACAATCACTTTATTGAATAAAATGAGTCTATTTTTCAATTAAATTATTCAGTTTTACTTTTTACACACACACACACACACACACACAAACTTTTGAAGGAATTGATTGTTTTTCCAAGCACCTTAATGAAGAATATCAAGTCACATTAAATTTGATTTGTGATTCAATTTGACATCTTTTAATAAACTTGGGACAGTTTTCAAATGGGTAGATCTTCTGAAAATGTTGATAGATTTCAATGAACTCTGTTAAATGTACACAGATTAAAGAAATAAAATGTCTCATGAAAAAATGACTCTAACAGTCATATTAATATATAATATAATAAAATCCTAGCAGGTGGACCACGTATATTGTTCAGTTGCCAAATTTGCCAGGTGTGGTCCTTGTTTATGATGGCCCAACCTACAGGGTGCAGAAGTCATGGTGTGAGTCAGTGATCAGTCTCTCTACTTTTCTCCACACGGTCTGTGTTTTGGAAGAAATAAGGCAAATTCAAGGCTGCCTTTGTACCAATGATGCAAAACCTTCAGGGAACATGAGCCTCAGGGAAAGGATGTTTTCCCTGCTTACAGAATGTTAATGGTTTCAGAAAGCCTGCACAACTCTGGGACTCTGAGCTGCAGTCCTTGAGAAATCATCTGTTGACACTTACCCAGGGGCTCCATTTGCCTATGTTACCTGCACAGCAAGTTCCTCAATCAGAGAAAGCCCCTTTCTCCTGCCTAAGCCTCAGGAGAGTATCTGACTAATTACAATGTGTGGAACATTTCAACATTTGCACACACACCAACTAGACATGTTGTTGTTGTTATGTGCTGTCGAGTCGGACCCGACTCATAGCGACCCCTCCTTGGGTTTCTGGGGCAGTATCACTATTGAAGTAGATTGCCCCATCTTCCTTCCAAGGAGTAGCTGGTGGGTTTGAACCGCCAGCCTTCTGGTTAGCAGTCAAGTGCCTTAGGCACTATGTTACCAGAGCTCCTAGCATAATCTTATTTTCAGAAATGTTCAAGTCCCATAAGGGACCCTCAACTCTCCCTGCACAAACTCTGTAAAACCTCTTTCATTATAATTTAACCAGGATCAGAGGTATCTTCCCCCTCAGGTAGTGAAACTTTTTACACCTGGGCCACAATCCTATAGACAGTCACCACATGAATTAACTGTTCTGTCTCTGTGCCTTCATAAGCCTCCTCTCATCTCCCCTAGCTGGGATCTCCTGAGCAGCCACTAGATGGGATTTTCAAACAACAAGGATGTTGTCTGGAAAACCATAATTGGAGGACATGCAAGCACTGGAAGAAAAGTCTCACCACGTCCGGAGGAATGTTACACTTGTAACCGTTGCCAAGTTTTCTCTGGTTAAATTGGTTATAAAATAAAAGAGGCTCCTTCCACACTCTGCCAGATTCTCCTGGCCAGGGACCCTAATCTCTTCGGAGACATAAATGATGTTTATCAAAGCAGCTGACTGTGGCGTCTACAACCACACGTTCCAGACAGGACTCTGACAAACTAGGTGCAGGCTGTGTACTGTTAGTGTTTCACTCTTTCAGCCCTCACAGAAGGACTTCCCTGAGGAATGTTCCAGTAGTAAGACCAGCCAAGAGTGAGATTCTTGGGTTTCTGGAGACTTTCTCTAATATAGATCATGCTGGATCTGCCTCAAAATGTTCAAATGCTAACTAAGTTCCTCATAAATTTGCAGTTTGATGAACTGGTATTAGGCTGGGAGTTTTGATAGGTGAATTTTACATTAACTACTGTTTAGGCTATTTTTAGTTTAAATTAAAGATTGCTGGGCTGAAAAGTCTATGTTATTTTAGGTTTATGTCCCAGGGTATCCATTATTTCTGGCAACATTATATTTAACAAAAATGTGTAGAGTTAAGTACACACAGTGATTTTATGTTTAAATGACTGTGGGATTAAGGACACAGGCCTCATGTCACATATGGCCCAGATATATAAGACACAATAATCTTCATAGCCTTGAGTTGACAGAATCTTAAAACAAGATAACACACTGCTACTGTATTTGCTTTTCAGCAGATTCAATACATACCATACAGGGAGTTCTGAGAGAATTCCCACAATGCTCCAACCCATCCTCACTTCTTCTCTAATGTTGAGGGCCATGTTAAATGGAGAGGTGTTCTAGAGTTGGTGTATCTGTCATCTTGGGAATTTTAGCTTAGCTCTGGGCCCACCTGTCTCTCAGAAGCTTTGGGATATTGATGTCAAGTATACTGGTCAAGTTTGGCCTCCCTTGCATGAGGTGCGAAAGGAATGCTTAGGGTGGGATGATGAACCCAGAGAAATGGCTCCCATTAATTTAGCCTCTCAATTAGGGGAGTGGATGACTACCTACTTCAATAACCTGAAAGTCATACTGCCTGAGAATCCCTGTTTAAAAATGTTTGTTGACACTAGAGTAAAAATGCTGGTTCATGGCCATTTCTAAGAAATGGTGAATAGGTTTGCATTAGTTATTTTCATTAACATAATGGTAACACACCAGTGCTGCACTAAAGGGGAAATGCTCCACTGTGTTTATCTTTTACCAAGGACCAGACTGTCCTCAAATCTTCAGCTACTCAAAAAATATCTATAAGAGCTAAAAATCAGTAGGGGATGACAGGCTATACTAATGCATAGTAGGCTGAAGAACTTGGTTAGTTGTCATGATTATTTATAGGTACATTTATGAAGAACAAAAGGAATAGGCAATAGTAAAAATTCACTTGCCTAAAGGAAGCTTTTGTTTGTACAGGAAATGAGCCCACCAGCTTCCAGGGCACTCTACAACAACACAACTAGAGAGTTGGGGTTGCCACAGCTTCAGCCACACCTGCTATGTGCCCAGCCACTGAATATAATGTGAAATTATGTCTATGAGAATGATTCTGATGCACCATGAAATTCTGAATCACCAGTGGAGCAACCACAGTGTTAATGTTGTTGTTATGTGTTGTCGAGTTGGACCAGACTCGTAGCGACTCCTCCTTGGGTTTCCGAGGTAGTATCACTACAGAAGTAGATTTCCCAACCTTCCTTCTGAGGAGTGGCTGGTGGTTCAAACCCACCAGCCTTCTGGTTAGCAGTCAAGTGCCTTAGGCACTATGCTACCAGAGATGAAAGGGTGAAAATGGGTAATATGCATATTGTACATATTG